AGACCCACAGAACAAGATAAGCGGAACTCTCTGAGACCTTGGACTCCAGGCTCGGCAGACCCAGGGACAGAGGTTCTCTGCTTGCTACCACCAACCACAGGTGACAAAGGAATTCTAATCAGGAGCCCCACCCTACCCTGTCCTGTCTGATTCCATCAACCACCCAGGGATCGAATTGCGCACAGGAGACCCACCCTACCCAGATAAATACCCCATTGGCAGACTTCCACTATCTACACTACTTTCACTACCCAGCCTTCACCACACTCCAGGACACTTTCCGGACCCGCGCGGCCGCAAAGCGGGCGCACGACAGATCATAAAGCACTAAATACCCATTTCCGGAATTGTCGTACCATATTTTATAGGGTTCAAATATGGTAAGACCTACAAGGGTGATTAGAGGTCGCCCCAAAAGCCTCTATCCCTCTCAGAAAGACTGGCAAGCTACCGAGAGTATTCAGCATGCACGGAAGAGCCTGGCAAGCTATCTGTTGTGTATTCAATATGCCAAAACCAGTAACTACAACTGGTCTCATTCACCTGCCCCTGAAAGCTTCACCAACATGGCAGCACTGAGAAGGATGAGAAAGGAGAGGCCGACAAAATCTCAAGGCCGACCTAGGCTGCCACAATGAAGGAAGACAAAAATGATCATCTGTACTTTCAATGCACGTATGCTAGCATCAGATGCATCCATCGAGGACCTGATGGTACAAGCGCGAATGATCAAGTACGACATCATTGGTCTGACCGAGACAAGAAGGCACGAATCTCACCATGCCGTTTTCGACACTGGAGAAGAATTTTTCCTTGGAACATGCGACAAAAGAGGTGTTTGAGGCGTCGGTATCCTTGTCAACTCAAACTTGGCCAAGACCATTGATTCATTTGAATGCCTAACAACCTGAATCGGACGTTTACATTTGAATAGATGTGACTCACTGCCTGCAGTTTCTATCTTCGTTGTCTACGCACCAACATCTCATTATGATGAAAGAGAAATCGAGAAGTTCTACATGGAGCTAGAGAAGTTCTATAAAGAAGACCACACCTTCTACAAGATCATTGTGGGTGATTTTAATGCCAAGATAGGACCGAGAAGATCAGCTGAAGAACTTCACATCGGGACCCATGGACTAGAATGGAACAAACAGGGTAAGAGACTGTCTGAGTTCATCATGTCGACCAAGACCATTCATGGTAACTCACAGTTCAAGAAGGCAGAATCTAAACGATGGACATGGGAGTCTCCAAGTGGACAATTCCACAATGAAATAGACCACATCATATTCAATCGACAGTTTTGCCTGACTAATGTCGCTGTTGTCCCAAAATTTCAAACGGGATCGGACCACTGTCTCCTTCGTGCAAAATTCTACTTCACAGAGCGGGGAGAAAGGGCTGCAAAGTACAAAAAGAGAACTTCCAGAATGACCACCAACTGGGAACTCTTTGGTACTATTGCGGAAACATGGGACGATGCCATTGTTGACAACATTGACGAGGAATACGATAGACTGGTTCAGCACCACCATGAATGTGCAAGGAACGCCAAGAGAGAGATAGCCACAAAAAATCGCCTATGTTCGAAAACTCTTGAGCTAATTCGCCAGCTTGGTTTGGCGCATGCCTCAGGCAACCGCAAGCTAACGTCTGAGCTCACAAAGAAGTGCAGAGATGCGATCAAGGAAGACCTCAAAGAGAGAAGAGCAGAAGTACTGGTAGAAGCGGCAGAAGCCGGGAAAAGTATTCGTAACGCCCGCCTGTCCTTCGTCAACGACAAGATCAAGATGACTGCCCTCCAACGTCCTGATGGATCCATCACATCCTCCAGAACGGCAATGGAGAAGATTATCCATGACTTCTACTCAAATCTCTTCGGTAGCCATGTCCACTTGCTGACATACCAAATTCTACAGGATGGATATTTCGTTCCCAACATTCTCCCTTCCGAAATCCGACACGCCATTTCGTCGGTAAAGAAGCAAACAGCACCCGGCTTAGACAAGGTCAGACCTGAACACCTGAAGAACCTGCCGTCAGTACTCATCAATACACTGGCTCGGCTCTTCACTCGCTACCTGTCTGAATGCAAGGTTCCATCCCAATGGAAAACCAGCAGGACCGTACTGCTGTTCAAGAAGGGAGACATCCATGACATTGGCAACTATCCCCGATCTGCCTATTGTCTGTCATCTACAAGTTGTTCACTTGAGTCATCCTAAATAGGATTGGCAGAACACTAGATGAAGGACAACCATGCGAGCAAGCCGGGTTCTGCAAAGGATTCAGCACCATCGACCATATCCACACAATAACCAAGCTCATTGAGGTTTCTCGGGAGTTCAAGATGCCGCTCTGTTTAACGTTCATTGATTTAAAGAAGGCCTTTGATTCTCCTGAGAAGGAAGCGGTCATTGAAGCCCTAGCCAATCAGGGCATTCAAGCCCAATACATCAGGATCCTCCGTGAGCTGTATTGTGGATTCACTCCCAGGATCTCACCATTCTACAAAGAAGTTATCATTGATGTCAAGAGAGGGGTGAGGCAGGGTGATACCATTTCACCGAAACTCTTCAGTGCCACCCTCGAGAACATCATGTGACGACTGGAATGGGAAGGAATGGGAGTGAAGATAGATGGTCGGCAATTATACCACCTCCGCTTTGCTGATGACATTGTTTTAATAACACCAAACATCAGCCAAGTGGCACAAACGCTGGCCGACTTTGACGTGAGTGTGGAAAGGTGGGACTACAGCTGAATCTTACGAAGACAATGTTTATGAGAAACAGTCTCGTTCCTGATGCTCCATTCATTCTCAACGGAACGACCATCTCCGAATGCAAGAGCTATGTGTACCTAGGTCGAGAGGTCAACATGACAAATGACCTGGCACCTGAGCTGCGCAGGAGGAAGAGAGCAGCTTGGAACACCTTCAAAAACGTCGAAGCAATAGCTAAGAGGACGAAGAACCTCCGGCTCCGGGCACATCTCTTTGATTCCACTGTTCTTCCTGCATTAACATATGCCTCAGAGACCTGGGCCCTACGCAAACAAGATGAAAACGCTATTCAGGTCTCCCAAAGAAGAATAGAAAGAACTATGCTTGGAATGTCACGTTTCACTCAAATGAGAGAAAGAATCCGAAGCTCTGACATCCGTCGACGATCAAGAATCAGGGACGCTGTCTCATTTGCCAAGGTGTCGAAAATCATATGGGCTGGTCACATAATGAGATTTAAGGACGACCGCTGGACTAGAGCTTTTACCGACTGGATTCCACGGGATGTCAAAAGACTGCGTTGCCGCCCACCTACCAGATGGTCAGACTTCTTCGTTAAGATCATGAACGATCGGTTTGAGGTTCTTCATGTTCCTGGAGCGAACAGACGCCATTGGGCTACACTAGCACGTGACAGGGATAAATGGAGTCGTTACTGGTGCCCGCTCGAGCAAATCAATGACTAACGGGAAGTTAAGTGATTAAGTGATTAAGTGATTGTTTATTTAATGGAAGGAGGAAAAAATACCACTGAAGTATCTGTGCAAAAGGGCTCTTGCACATTTATACATATTTGTTCTAAAAAGCACAAAACATAAAAAAAAATGGCCATTAGGGCATGTAGTCATATAAATCTTAAGAACTACATAAGGAAGTAGTATCAAAACATCCAACAAACAAGCCGACTATATTAAGTCATTTCCAATTTGGACAGGGAAGTCACTTTGGCAAAAATGAGATTTTACTAAAAACATCAAAAAATATGTAACGTCCCTTTCGCAGATGGAATCCCGGTGACCATGAGCTTCTACAAGCATGGCTCTGGCATGCGTGTACCGGGACAATTTTTCTGAACTTCAATGGGGCCGCCCCGGCTCCCAGGCAACCTCTGATTCTGGAAGTCATGCCCACAACTCGCCCCCCAGCGCCATCTTACAGCACATAGCAGCAAAGAAGAAAACCGGCTGGAGGGCCCCACAGTTCCCAGAGAATGCTCTGGGCCCCAAACACAGCCAATATCACTGGGAGGTCCCAGATGGGGTAGGTGCTGTCTCTCCACCTTCTCCAGATGGAATCCCGGTGACCATGAGCTTCTACAAGCATGGCTCTGGCATGCAGGTACCAGGACAATTTTTCCAAACATTTCCTAATATATATGCAAAATGATCAATGGAAAGTAAATCATACAGCTTTTCTTCCTATAAATCAGGCTTGAATGGCGGTGGGAAAATCTGAGCAAAAGATAATGCCCAACTGAAATACATCTGGACTGTGTATTTAACTATGGTCCTATGGCGCCCTGGGAGGGGAGGGGTGTCTGTGTCTCTGCCTGTCCCCCTCTGTGTCGGCGACATGGTTCTTTTAGAACCTAATGAACAGCCAGGTATGTGAACGCATTGACGAGGCATGTGGGGCTTAATGGAATGGGGGGTGGAATCGGCCCTGCTCCCCGCCATGACAGTGCTCTGGGTTGCCACCCTCAAACGCCTCTTCTGGCGTCTGACCGACCATGAACCCAGAGGCACACATACCAATCTCGGAACCCAGGGGCTTCTGGCAGTAATCCTTCTAGGTTTATTACTAAAATATTAAAAATCCAAATCCGTGTGACCACTATTGTGGCCACACAACAACATATGCTCTTCATAATCAACATTAGAAAACAAATTTACTAATGATGTCTTTGTGGCAGGTCTGAATGTTGGGAAAACTTCCAAATAACAATGGTGGTTCTTTTGTCGTAATATTGAATGTGATCAACATAGAGAGAGAGAGAGAGAGAGAGAGAGAGAGAGAGAGAGAGAGAGAGAGAGTAAAGTGGAAATCTGTCACACAGGTGGGGGGTGGGTGGGAGGGAAGGTATATTGGGGTTCTTGGTGGTGGAAAATGTGTACTGGTGAATGGACAGGTGTTTGATCATTGTGTGACCAACATAGATTTGAACTGAAAGTCTTTGTTACTGTTCTCACGGTGATTCAACAAATTAAAAAATATATATATGGAACGCTTCACGAATTTGTGTGTCATCTTTGCGCATGGACCATGCTAATCTTCTCTGTGTCGTTCCAATTTTAGTACACGTGCAGCCAAAGCAAGCACCAAAATTAATTCTTTAAGAAAAAAATACTATTTAGTTTACCAATGGAAATAGAAAAACTCAAAATGTGCAATGAATCTAGTAACTAGAAGAACTGACCTTAACCTCTAGTGCCATCTGCTCTTTGTGTGCTTTTTTTATGTGTTTAGTTTATTCAAAATAACACAAACATAGATTTAGTAAGAGCCCTTGTGATTAATCTTTCACATTTTTTGACAATTTTCAAGAAACCATGGATGGTATACCATCTTTTTTTCTTTCACCAACTTAATTTATTACTTGTTTTTCAATAATTATGGAGAAAAGTAGTTAAGAGGATCATAAGCTCTAAAAGGAAACTATATCCACACTGTGACAAAATAATTATAAAGACACGTATTTTAGAAGAGCAAGGATTGATGATATAAGACTATGTCTCCGAGTAATTTTGCCTTTTTTCAGAATGGCTTATGAGTATCGCAATGTATATATCTTTTTTAGTTCTTTCACATACCATAATACATTTTATATGCATTGAAGCTGTTTCAAGTATAAATACCTTTCAATTTTATAAACAAAAATATTTTATGAATACATCAGTCATTTAATAAAGGATCATCATTTGTTTTTTCGCAGGTCACTATTACTATTATTGTTATATTATTATTATATGTCTAATAAGATTTGTGTAAAGGTTTTAGTGCAAGCATAATTTTTATTTGGTTTGGTCAAATGCCCAAGACTAGGTAGTATTAACAATACAAAAGTGTGCATTTAACTTTATGAAACTGTTTATGAGTATGATTGGCCATTTTGCATTTCCTTCAACAATTTGTGTTACTAACTGAAATTTTTTTAATTATCATCCTTCCCACTTTTCATAATATATGCATTTGTTTTCATTTTCCTGATGACTAGTTTAGAAGGAATGTGCTTTCATATTACTGCAATCTGTATATATCTTTTGCCAAGGTGTATGTTTAAAAGTTTTGCCCATTTTTATTTAATTTTTTATTAATTCACTTTGAATTGCAAAGTTATTCTTGATTGAGCTTCAGGCATATGGTGTCCCAACAGTAATCCTTTTACCAGTGTTCAATTCCTTTCACCAATGTACCCAGTTATTGTCCCTCCCTCTCAGCCTCCCTGCCCTCCCCCAATCACACACACTTTTAGTTAAATACCGTGGTTTACAGAGACCATGCATGTCACTTTATCCTTTCAGCACCTAGTCCTGGTCCAGAGGTAAGTGACCACTTATTTATATAATTCCTATAATTGTTGTAATGGTCACCTCCCTGACCTTCACCTACACATCCCAGTGTCAAATTTCAAGTAAGGACTGGTTCTCTTTTTTTCATTTTAATTGTCATTGGACTTTAGTTATCCCCGACTCTGTATCTTAATATCCCATATATGAGAAAGATTATTCCCTCTCTCTCATTCATTTCATATAGCATAATACTCTTCAGATCCATCCATGTGTCAGCAAATTTCACAACTTGATCTTTTCTTATGGCTGAGCATTATTCCACTTTTTACCACCATGTGTACCATATGTACCTTTGTGTACCATAACATATTTAATCAGTTACCTGTTTTGGGGGGTTGTTTCCAGATTTTGGCTATTGTGAAGAGCACAGCAATGAGTACAGGAGTTCAATATTTTTTCTGCATTCTTGTTTTGGGTCCCTAGGAATAGAACTGCTGAGTTGAGTTGTATGGAAGCTCAATTCCTAATTTTTTGAGAACAGTCCTTATTGTCTTTCAAAGGGTTGGACCAATCAACCTTCTCACCAGCAGTATATGAAGGGTCTATATTTCCCCCACATTCATGCCAACACTGATTGTTGTTCTTTTTGATGAGCACCAGTCTATTTAGTGTGAGGTGATATCTCAGTAATGCTTCACATTTCCCTGATGATTAGTGATATAGAGTATTTTATATGCTTTTTATCATTTGTATTTCCTTTGTAAGTTCCTGTTCATCTATATGACCCATGTTTTAATGGAGTGGGTGTTTTTTTTCTTTGTTTTTTTTGAAAATTCTACCAGTTCTTTTTATGTTTGGATGTTAGTGCTTTATTGGATGAACAATGGACAAGTAATTTCTCCAGCTCTGAAATGCTTTGTTGTCTTCATACTCTAGCCATCATTTCCTTTGAGTTGTAGAAGCTTCTTAATTAATTATATGTTCATTTGTTACTACAGGCTTCCATTTAATTGGTCACAGATATTTTTTCCTTAAGATGCCTCTCCTACTTTGGACAAACTGGCAGGCTACCGAATGTAACCTGTCCACACAGCAGAGCCTGGCAAACTCCCTGTGGCGTACCCAATATGCCAAATACCAGTAACAATGATGTGTATCATTCTCCTAACTCTGAAAGAACCTTGAATTTGGCACTTTTTGAAAAATCTCAGGGCTAGGATGAAGGAGACATTACTGGGGCCTGCTCAAGGCAACCGACGAATAACAGGATGGTCATGATCGTGATCGTGAAGATGCCTCTAGTTTTAGTATCGTTCTGAATATAATTTTCCTCTATATACCTTATGAATCTTTTCACCTAGTTTAAATACTATGTTCATATATATGTATATACATGTATATACATATATACACAACTTCAAATATAATGTATATGCATATATATATACTTATACACACATGTATATGCACCATATTTAACATGATACTTTTGTTGCTGTATATTTTTGGAGGGGGTAGTCTTCTGGTGTGTGTTCTATTTTCATCAATTTGACAATAACTTTTGAAAAGATTCTATTTAAATCTTGGTGAAGTTCAGATTGTCAAATGATTTCCATTATAGCCCATGCTTTTAGTGCAATAGCACTGAACATTGGAGGAATCCAATATTGAAAATGCATTCATTTTCCTTGTATAAATGTTTAATTTTAATTAACTTGAGTTATGATTGAGATTTTTTATACTGCCATCAATGTTTAAATTTTTCAGCAATATTTTAAAGGCATATTCATTTTGTCATGTATTCTTAAATCTACTTTTGGTTTTCTGTTCTGATCTGTATATATATGCTCCCTAGTAACACAGTGCCTTAGTTAATGAAGTTTTAAAGTAATACTTGAAATTTGGTAGTGCATGTGCTGAATTTTTACTCTTTAAATTTCTAGTTCAAAAAACTCTATCTTAGAAGGTGTAATGGAGGTGGGATTTGGTGTTGGACTGTTGCATTCCTGTGACAAATCATGAACAACTTTGTAAACCAGTGTCTGTATAAAGTATAAGTGGAAAACTGGAAAAAAATAATTAGTAGCTAGAGAAAAATCCTCCATCTAGGTACATTAAGATCTAACTGTTGAGAAAAGTAAACAGAAAAAAAACCCAAAACTTAAGCACGATCAAGATAATTGGGAGCATATCTGCTGGAAGGAATATGTACAGATGAAAATGCACTACCTGCCAGAAAGAATTGTCTAAAAGTCACTAGTGCAAAATCTAACATTTTGAAAGAGGTGGCTTTTACTTCAGTTTAAAAGATGCTTAAGAAAGTAGACATAGTATAAGAAATTTTTAAAAAATGAAACAAGATAGAAAAGGTAGAAATTTGAGTTTATGTAAGTGAAAATGATTCCTGGAAATGGAGAATACTTAAATGAACCAAAAGCATATTTAATAATTTATTTTAGCAATTTAAAATGTTATTGACTATTTAAACTATCTCTACATATGACATATGTGGGATACACTTTATTCACATCACTCCACAAAGATAGAATGAGAGATAGTACAGTGTATATGGTGCTTGTCTTGTATGCACCCAGGTTCAATCTTGTGCACCACATGTGGTTCCCTGAATACCTCCATGAGTGATCCCTGAGCAAGGAGTAAGGCATATTCTGTGACCAAAAAACTGACCAAAAAACTGAAAAATAAATAAGTTTTATACTAAACATGTATGGTAAGTACTTTTTGAAGTATCCATATTAAAAAATATTTTATATAAGCTACATGTTCACTACAAAAAGTAAAATGTAGATATATCTAATAAGCCAATCATATAGAAAAATCAGAATTGTTATGTTCAATTTTTGTATCATCTGTCAACTTTTGTAACATTTTATACAGAAAAGATAAAAAGTCCAGGTAACATAAGTTGAAAACTAATTAGATCCTTGCAAATGACAGTTGTATTACTTCCGTGATTATTGCATAGAAATTAAAATCCAGATAGGGCGTTCGCCTTACACGCGGCCAACATGGCCAACCCAAGTTCGATTCCTCCGCCCCTCTCAGAGAGCCTGGCAAGCTACCGAGAGTATTCGATATGCCAGACACAGTAACAACAAAGTCTCCAATGGAGACGTTACTGGGCCCACTCGAGCAAATCGACGATCAACGGGAGGGCCTTTACCATTGTCAAGTATTACTTTTAGAAAACAACTCAATGTTATCTACTCACAAAAACAAGTTTAAGATGCACACACCTTAACATTGAATAAGAAAAACACATAGACATCATCATTTCATTCAATAGTGCTCAAGCAACTAATTAAGATTTATCATTATTACTGTTTGAATGCACTATAAAATATCAAAGAGGATCAATTAAGTATTTCATACTCTAAGTTTTCTCCTAGTGTTTTCCTATTGAAAAATGTTAATATGATAATATATAAAACTGCCTCTTGTGGACTATACAGGTAATACAGTGCTATAGGATACTCAATCACCCATTCTCAAACAACTCAGCTAGCTGTAGTTAAAGCATCTACTTGTTTTGTCCTTTGTTTGATGAGGCACTGTAATAAAATAACGGTGAATATATTTCAACCAATAGATGTTAAGGGAAAAAGAACTTCAGTGTTTTAGCTAATCAAAGTCTTGGGGATATAATGATAAAACTTTATTAGCAATGTTTTAAAATAATTAAAACACCTATCTATTTCACTTTTAACATTAAAAACTTTAATAAAAGTGTGAAGTCTTACAATTATCTATCATTGTTTTTATGAATTTTATCTAAAATCTATATTCAGT